TCAACATCAACAACAACAACAACAACAACAACAACAACAACAACAACAACAACTATAGCAGCAACAACAACAACAACAACAACAACGACAACAACAACATATTAACACATTCTCCTCTCCAAACACCCCCCAGCCTTTCTCAGCACAGCGACATTCTATATCCGTCTGACAGTAGGAGTAACTGTCGTGGTTGTTCCAGCCAACTCATGAAACTTGATCTGAGCTGACCACGCCCTTGTTTATCAACGTTTGGGAGATGGAAAGTTTTGTTTTTCATTGACCAAATTTTAGCTGAAATTTTAAAACTTGATATTTCTTGAACATAAGGATTGACGTTCTTCATGTGTATACAGTTGGAATCCCTCTAAAGTGCGGTTAAAAAATGCATAGTATAGTAGTATAAGGTTTTACGGCGCTCGCAACTGCTGAGGTCATATGAGCGCTAAGGTCATATAAAAAATGCATGGCGCTACTTATTGTCAAATATCTCCTTGACTCTCCAACGTAGTTTTTCCAACTTTCGCATAATGACTTATATATACATTTGTTTTAACTGGTGAAAATTTTTTTTCAAACTCCTTCACACTGTATTCGAAAAGAGTCCTTAATAAATACTAATAAAAAATCCCAGTCGATGGTTTCTGCAGATTTTTCCAAGTTTACAATATCGCTACGGAACCAGAATTATCTTTCACCAGTTTTTTGGGTCTCTTCCGTCTTCCCCGGCGACTGCGGTGTAGTGGTGTAGTGGTGTAGTAGTGTAGTGGTGTAGTGGTGTAGTGGTGTAGCGGTTAGGCCATTTGTCGCCACATGCAGGAGACCAGAGTTCGATTCCAGAGGGGGAGGGGTGAGGGAGGGGAATTTTTAATGGATTATGTGGAACTGTCTGCCGACTGCCTGGTTGTACCCCTCTCACTCTAGGTTAACCCTGACAGTTTAAGGGCACTTGCAAAACAATAAGGTCATAGAAGTGCCGAAGAATAGATATGTTACAAGAGAGGAACAAACACAAAAAAGAAGGAGGGGAGATAAGGACGATAGATGTTTGAGAGGAAGGAAAGAAGCAAACCACACCAGCGCATCCGCCAACCACCCACTGCCCTGACACGACTGGGGCCAAAGCCCAGCTCCCAAAATGATATAAACTGTGACGAAATGGGAGAACCCCCCCACACACACACACACACACACCAAAAAAAATCCACAAAAAGCAACTAAGCCCCCCCCCAAAAAAAAATTTAAAAAAATTTAAAAAAATAAAAATAAAATAAAAACATCCACAATAAAAACAACTATATTCTTTTTCTCAAGTGTGGCGCTCTGGAAGATTCCCTTTAGATTTAACATCCGTAGGCCTACTTCCCTTCCTATTTTGTTACATATTCTTCTTCAATTCGGAAACAGTGCACACTTCAAATTTATTTGAAAAATAAACCTCATTGTGACTTATTTCAGTATCATGTTTTGTCTCCTTAAAACCCTCAACCTCACAAGACGAGACAGGCAGAGAAATGAAGTAAGAGCAGCTATCGGCACTGAGTCCTGCCTGCATTACATAGAAAGACAGACAGAGAATAAAATGGTTTGGCCACCTGTTACGTATGTCACCTGGCCAGCCAGCCTTAAGAGCCTACAACACCAAGCACTCAGGCTATAAAGGAAGAGGAAGGCCACGCAAAAAGTGGATCGAGGGTGTCAAGGAAACCCTGAGAAAACACAATATCCCGATGGAAAGAGCTGCGGAGCTGGACTACTATAGATAACAGCAGCTCCCCTCGACGCTGAACGGCAACAGAGGATGAAAAAGTTGAAGGTCCCGGGTTCAAATCCGGGTAGCGACAGAAACATTTTCGTCTCTAAAATTGTCTCCTTTCACCTCTTTTCCTGCTCTCCAGCAATGTTCTGTCGTCTGCTGTCGTCTCCCCCTCACCGCCTTTGCCTCCTCCTCTGGGCTCCTGACTCTTTCTGCAGCCTATCTACAGTTACTCGTTAACTCCTTCTTACTGCTGTCATTCAGCCACACCCCTGATCTTCTGGTTGGAAAAATCTACACCTAGCCTTCTCGGACAAGGGCGAAAAATCTCTTGGTGGTCTAAAATCGATAAGAGTAGGCTTCGGTCGCCACCCGGGGAAAATTCTAAATTTCCTACCATCTGAAAATGTTTAATGTATCCCGCGCGCTCGTGACCTTATGCAGTTGCAAGCGCCGTAAAACACTTACCAAATGAAAATAAAAAGAGGAAAAAAAGAAGAAAAAGAGAAAAAAAGTACAACACTTAACAGCAACAAAGGATGAACAAGAAAAAAAAGTAGAAGAATCATTTTTTTGTTTTCACAGCTGACGGTATCTGGTTCTTCTCACCTCGGCGCTCAGCCTCTGACTTCCGGCCTGGCCATGATGACGTCAGACACAAGCAGGGGGGCGGGGACAGACACCACATGCTATTCGTCAACCAGCTCTGGGGGGTGAGGAGGGAGCAAGACTTCACGTGCATCCCACCCGACGGCGAGGTGTTCACCCACAACTACTCCTACCCCCCAGCCTTCAGCTGTAATAGCGCAAACATCAGACAGATGAGCCAGCGAGAGCGAGAGAAGACGAAGAAACGACAGATTCACATTTGGTGCGACCGCAACGGGGCGGCTCACAGCAAGTATATTCCAGTGCCCGTCTCGAAGTACCCGCAATCGTTCACGGACGACTCGAGTCGCGAGTGTTTGATGAGGTATATCGAGCAGCACTGCAGGGACGAGTACCCCGTGCCCAACGTCATTCACTTCATCTGGTTCGGCAACCACACCCTGGACTTTCGTCAGTTCCTCAGCCTTTACAGGTAGATAGATAGATAGATAGGTAGACAGACAGACAGACAGACAGACAGACAGACAGACAGACAGACAGACAGACAGATAGATAGATAGATAGATAGATAGATAGATAGATAGATAGATAGATAGATAGGTAGATAGACAGACAGACAGACAGATAGACAGATAGATAGATAGATAGATAGATAGATAGATAGATAGACAGATGTTGTTTCTTCCTATCATGCTAATATCTTTCTGAGACATTTCATACAGTATGCCGTTCTCTTACTTTGCTGCGCTTTGTTGAGGATCCAGATTTGGCCCCAATAGCAGAGAGTAATTGGTCGCTTTTAAGGACAAGGGGGCTATTCCAAATGTCGGGGGGTTTCCAGAAATCTTGACCTACAGCAAAAATGGGTTTTGCCCTACCTATAGAAGAAGTTTCGTTTCATTGGTGTGTATATTTGTTTGGTTATAGAGAAAACTCTCCTTGTTTTTTAAAGAAACTGAAAAAGGGTCCAAAAATTTTACCTTCGATTTTCTCAAAACAGCATTTTTCGGTAGAGCCCCTTGTGCTTAAAAAGGACCACTTGATACGTGTTTTAAAATCTTGGCCGCTTAAAACGACACGAGACCATTGTGAAAGAGGTGCTTGAAGGAAATATGTTGGGCAGGAGAGCCAGGGGTAGACAAAGAGAAACAGGGATGGACAATACATAAACATGGACAGGCCTGGATATTGCAGAATGAGCAACGGCAGCTCGCAACTGTGAAAGATGGCAGAAGATATTCGGAGACGCACTGCTTTTTTTTTTTTTGGGGGGGGGGTCAAACTGCGTATTGTTTGCTAAAGATCACACATGTATAGCCACTAAAACTGTCGCAAATCAATCATTTTCAAGAAAATGTCAAACCTAACTGTAAAATATCAAGCTATGGGTTAAAACAGGTCCCCCCCCCCCCCTGTAAACCCCCAGATTTTTTTACTTGGTCCAGAGGCACACAGCATTTTGATTGGCCTATCACCGCCCGAGACGTCTCCGGATATATACTGCAGTGAAAGATAGAGGGTCACTACTCGTCAACCTCTGAGTCAGAGATATCACACCCCTAGAGACCAGAGTGTGAAAATTGAGTCTAAGACGCTCTATTCTTTTCTTTGTCTCCATTTCAGTGTCGTCACTATCACAAAAGCTCGGCTGATCATCATCCACGGTGACCCCCTGACCCCGGGGAAGTTCTGGGACGCTTTGTTTCCTCACGCGCTCAATCTGGTGCACGTTTTGAGAGCTGCGCCGATGTACGTTCAGGGGAGGAGGGTGGAGAAACGGGGCAACCAGGCAGATATAGCCAGGATACAGATACTTCAAGGTAACTACAGGCAGATATAGCCAGGATACAGATACTTCAAGGTAACTACAGGCAGATATAGCCAGGATACAGATACTTCAAGGTAACTACAGGCAGATATAGCCAGGATACAGATACTTCAAGGTAACTACAGGCAGATATAGCCAGGATACAGATACTTCAAGGTAACTACAGGTAGATATAGCCAGGATACAGATACTTCAAGGTAACTACAGGTAGATATAGCCAGGATACAGATACTTCAAGGTAACTACATATAGCCAGGATACAGATACTTCAAGGTAACTACAGGTAGATATAGCCAGGATACAGATACTTCAAGGTAACTACAGGTAGATATAGCCAGGATACAGATACTTCAAGGTAACTACAGGCAGATATAGCCAGGATACAGATACTTCAAGGTAACTACAGGTAGATATAGCCAGGATACAGATACTTCAAGGTAACTAAAGGCAGATATAGCCAGGATACAGATACTTCAAGGTAACTACAGGTAGATATAGCCAGGGTACAGATACTTCAAGGTAACTACATATAGCCAGGGTACAGATACTTCAAGGTAACTACAGGCAGATATAGCCAGGATACAGATACTTCAAGGTAACTACAGGTAGATATAGCCAGGATACAGATACTTCAAGGTAACTACAGGCAGATATAGCCAGGATACAGATACTTCAAGGTAACTACAGGCAGATATAGCCAGGGTACAGATACTTCAAGGTAACTACAGGTAGATATAGCCAGAGTACAGATACTTCAAGGTAACTACATATAGCCAGGATACAGATACTTCAAGGTAACTACAGGCAGATATAGCCAGGATACAGATACTTCAAGGTAACTACAGGTAGATATAGCCAGGATACAGATACTTCAAGGTAACTACAGGCAGATATAGCCAGGATACAGATACTTCAAGGTAACTACAGGCAGATATAGCCAGGATACAGATACTTCAAGGTAACTACAGGTAGATATAGCCAGGATACAGATACTTCAAGGTAACTACAGGCAGATATAGCCAGGATACAGATACTTCAAGGTAACTACAGGCAGATATAGCCAGGGTACAGATACTTCAAGGTAACTACAGGTAGATATAGCCAGAGTACAGATACTTCAAGGTAACTACAGGTAGATATAGCCAGAGTACAGATACTTCAAGGTAACTACAGGCAGATATAGCCAGGGTACAGATACTTCAAGGTAACTACAGGTAGATATAGCCAGAGTACAGATACTTCAAGGTAACTACAGGCAGATATAGCCAGGGTACAGATACTTCAAGGTAACTACAGGTAGATATAGCCAGAGTACAGATACTTCAAGGTAACTACATATAGCCAGGGTACAGATACTTCAAGGTAACTTCATATAGCCATGATACAGATACTTCAAGGTAACTACAGGCAGATATAGCCAGGGTACAGATACTTCAAGGTAACTACAGGCAGATATAGCCAGGGTACAGATACTTCAAGGTAAGTTCAGGCGAATATAAAAAGGATATTTATACTTCAAGGTAGGGAATAGCTAGAGTATACTTCAAGGTAGGGAATAGCTAGAGTATACTTCAAGGTAGGGGAATAGCTAGAGTATACTTCAAGGTAGGGGAATAGCTAGAGTATACTTCAAGGTAGGGGAATAGCTAGAGTATACTTCAAGGTAGGGGAATAGCTAGAGTATACTTCAAGGTAGGGGAATAGCTAGAGTATACTTCAAGGTAGGGGAATAGCTAGAGTATACTTCAAGGTAGGGGAATAGCTAGAGTATACTTCAAGGTAGGGAATAGCTAGAGTATACTTCAAGGTAAGTCCGGTCAGGTAAAGCTGGAGAACATTAATACTGCAAGGTCAATGTAATTACCCACACACACACACTCACACACACTCACTCACACACACACACACACACACACTCACACACACACACACACACACACACACACACACACACACACACACACACACTCTCTCTCTCTCTCTCTCTCTCTCTCTCTCTCTCTCTCTCTCTCTTTCTCTCTCTGTCTCTCTATCCGTCTCTCTTTTGTAGCATATGTCCCCGCTCAACAGTAAGTTTTACAAGATTTCCACTTCCATGGTTCCCCCAGCAAATCCTAGAACACGAAAAAGAACCTTGGCTTCCTGGGAAATATCCAGTGCAAGCAGTTGATGACAAGCGCCCAAATACGGGGAAACTGACAAAACTTTTCGCTGCAAATGGCCAGAAATTCAGTCCCGTCTTGGTGAAATTAGGAAAATTTGTGTAAGAGAATTTCTCAAGGACGCAAGGTCGGACCCCAACGAGGTTGGAACCCTTGACTTCTCAGTAACGATCCCAACAGCCTTACCACTAGACCACTAACTCATTAAGTGTTTCGTCTTCTTGGTCGACTCTTCAGCCAGGTATTTGAAGTCACGAAAAATGTTGTTCTCGTTTAAGCACAAGGGGGCAGTCCGGAAAACGCTGTTTTGAGAACATCGAAGGTAAATTTGTTTGCCTCTGGTTCAGTTCCTTCAAATCAAAAGACAAGGAAATTTTTCTCTTAATAACCAAACAAATCTACACACTAATGAAACCAAACTTCTCCAATAGGTAGGGCAATACCCACTTTTGGTGTAGGTCAAGATTTCTGGAAACCCCCGATATCTGGGTTAGCCCGCGTGTTCTTAAAAGCGAACAATTATTGATTGTTTCCCATGTATCGCTTTATCGATAGATAATCCCCACGCGTTCTTTTAGTTTTAGTAAAAAAAATTTGGGGATATAAAGACAATAGATGTTTGATAGGAAAGAAGAAGCAAACCACACCAGAGCACCCGCCAACCACCCACGCGTTCTTTTTCTTGACAAGTAAAATGAACGGAACAAAGAGGATCCCTGGGCAACATTTCCATAACTGTGGCCATAAACTGTAGGCCCGTCCAAACTGGTCAAATAATGGTACATCGGTTAAATGCTAAGCCCCCATCTTTAATGGGGCTATGTACCCTATCCGTACGCCCTGGGGTCATTTAGTACCCCCGGGGTTGTATTCTTCACATTTTAGAATACTTCTGGTACTTTAATGGGACAATGTGGGCTATTTAAAGGCTTTCTAATAATCATTATTATGATAAGCGTCCTTTCCAACCTTGCCCCGAGCTCCGATAATTTGACCTCCTTGTCTCGGGTGATAGACAGCTACAGTGAAGCCCATAACAGGAAGGTTAATCCCTTTTATGATCGGCCAGGGATTAATGGATTCTTTTTCAATGGCTGAGATATTTGACAATAAACAAATTTTAATGGGGGACCAGTTAACACAAACGGCTGACTAGGAGCACTTTGTAAAGGTGTCTACTGGTGTGTAGGGGCATCTGCGTATGTACATATTATAACTTTATACTTTTGTGTTTAGTTTTAGTTTTAGTAGAGGTTTTACGGCGCTCGCAACTGCATAAGGTCATGCGAGTGCCTGAAGATTAGAGGTGTTACAAGAGAGTAACAAACATAAAAAAGAAGAAGGGGAGATAAGGACGACGATAGATGTTTGATAGGAAAGAAGAAGCAAACCACACAAGAGCACCCACCAACTGCCCACTTATACTTATGTGTGCGTCGCCATTTTGAGCGAAAAAAGATTGCTTTTTAATTTTCTTAATTTAAAAAAAAATGTAGCTGTTTTTCCACTCCCATCGACACAACTAAGATCACACAGGAGTCTGTCTACGGCCCTGCCTGCCATGGCTAACCTGGCTGAGAGGGGTACCAACCACATCCCAGCAGGCAGACCCCTGTCACTCAATTAACATTAAAATCGAACACGGGGCTCCTGTGTGCCACGGTGAAACACCTAACCACTGCACCACGGACACCCGTAAGGTGGAGTCTTTTTGATGACCCTCTCACAGTGTGGCATGATCCCCCCTCCTCCCCCCCCCCC